AGCCCGCGTTTGACCTTGCAGGATGACCTTGGGAGGTCAGAACTTTTTGACGTACGCTAGTTTTTTCTGTGGTGAATGTTCTTATCTTGTAAAATAAAAATCGGGCGGTAATTTTTAGGTGATATGGAGTTTCCCGTCCTTTGGGACCGCGTTTGACCTCGCAGGGTGACCTTGACAGGTGATAACTTTTTGACGAATGCTAGCACTTTCTGTGGTGAATGTTCTGATGCTTGTTGGTTAAAAATTGGCCCGTAGTTTTTGGGTGATATGGAGTTCCCTGTCATTTGAGCCCACGTTTGACCTCGAAAGGTGACCTTGACAGTTCAGGACTTTTGGACGGACGCTAGTTCCTTCTGCGTTGAACATTCTGACATTTGCAAGTTGAAAATCGGACGGTAATTTTGGGTGATATCGAATTCCCCATCCTTTAATCCACCTTTCGACCAGGAAGGTAGCATGATATTACAAAATAAGGGTCATTTTTGATGTTCTAATGCCATAATTGACCTTGAAACCATTTTTTAGGGAAATCGGAACTCCTCGCTGTAAAAATCACCAAATAAATCGCTATCTTCACGGACATAGGGGGAAAGTCACATTTCCCCTGCCGGCCAGATGCAGTTGTCTTAGACCCCGCGGACTAAGTAAAGTAACCAAAAGTGCACGTGTCAAATGCCATTATTTTGATGGATTCATTTATTTAGTTCATTCGTTCGTTACAGTGAAAGGGGCAGGCCACGGTGACGTCCGAATGCATTGCTCAAATCATTGCTTTGAAAAATGTCAGAGAAGTCACACACATCAATGGAATATATCGCACGTATCAATATATTTTGCAACGGATGCGGTGAAAGAATTGAGGAAATGCAGTCAGTTTTCAGCGAATCCGTAGGCAAAGCAGCACTCCCAATGTCTTGACGGAGTGCGTTTTGGAGCCACTTTTTGGTCTTAGTCAGGGAACGTGGGCTGGTTAAATGAAAATGCATCAAATGAAGCTTTCGAATGATCCATGTTACCACTTTGGTGTGTTTCATTACCTTCGACACCTGGCTACGTGGCGCGAAGACGGCTAGCGCTAAAGCAGTGTTTACCTCATGTTCGAACTAACTATATCCGCACAGGTTAACGATTGTTTCTCGAAACAGATAAAACGAAGTTTTTTCCTTTTCAATCTTTTCAGCCATTTGCAACAGCCTCTCCCAGCACGTACACGCGGATAACGAGGGTGGGTGAAGCGGCGAGTGGTCAACGATCGATATCCGCGAAGGTTGCAAGTGATCCACCCCATGTTGCTGCACGAAAAAACTAACTCACAGGCGAAGTTTATTTGCAATGGCTTCATACGTCCCTGACAGACAGCACACCACACCTGGCCCCCGTCACACATCCCGGCAGCCTCTGATACGACTGGCAAAGAAACGCGGTGAATGATATTGAACGCATCCCGAAATACTGAAGCCACAGATCGTCCATGAAACGCACAGGCCGTCACATCCGCCTTCACAGCGCCAGCTCTGTCAAATAGCGAAGCAAGCCCGCAAGCACTTTATACGACGCAAGTGTCAGTCCCATAGCGTGATTTTCGAATTTTTATGAAAAGATGGCAATATATATATGTGTATATATATACATATTTGTGTGTGTGTGTGTGTGTGAGTAAACTTTTGTCCTAAAATACTTACAAAACCAACGATCAAAACGATAAAACGATATGATACAGTAAACCACTGACGATTAGGGGCCCGGTTGGAGGGCATAAGGGCGCTCCAAGGGCCCTTAAGGAATCGCGGCGCGGAGGGCCGTGGCCTAAAATATCAGACAGAGGTCCTGCTGCACCGTTTGAGGAACCCCTGAGACAATGTGGGTGTCTCGGTCGGCGAGAGACCATAAACACCGGATAGTTGGCTCCCTGTCAGTCTGAATCCTGGGAACCCATTTGCCAAGCAGGAGCAAGACCGGGGGCCACGACTTGCATTTGGCGGGTCTCTGGAAAAATGGATGGGATCCCTGCGTGGGTCAGGGGTCCACGGTGTGTAACAGAGGGTCATGTGTCAGCTAGTGACCTCGGGTCGGTCACAGGCTTTGTTTGAGGAGGTCTGAAGAGCGGAAGAAGGGACCCTCGAGGCCAAAGATCAACGGCCGGACTGGAACGATGAATGGCCCGAAGGACTGGCTGTAGGTCATATTTAGCACCCCCGCCCGTAGGGCCGTGATCTCAAATGTCAATTAAAAGGTCTCTTGTACCAATTTGAGACCCCTGAGACAGCGCGTTTTATTTCGGTCAGAGATCACCAACCCGAGCAGCTGGCTTCGTGTCGGTCTGATTTTTGGAGGCTCATTTCCCAAGCAAAGACAAGGCCGGGCCCGTGTTTTGCATTGGTCGGAGTCCCTGCAACATTACGGAGAATCTGTATCGGTCAGGGGCCCAGTGCCTAACAGGGTGTTCCGTGTCAACAAGGGCCTCGAGTCGGTCAGGGGAGCATTTGCTCAACATGGACGGAGGCAGGACCACGAATGACAGAGGATCTCTTGCGTTGTTTGGGCCCTCTGACAATGAAAGGAAATATTAAAATGTATGATAAGTGTTCACATTGAGACAATGGAAGGGTACTGTGCCAGTCAGGACCCCCGCTACCGAACGGCGAGCACTCCGATTCAATTCCAGCATGGTCCTTAAGCCGAACGGGGGTCCATGCGCCAATTATTGGACCACCTGCGGCGATCAGGGATGTTGTTGCGTCAGTCAGGTTTTCTGCGTTGATCCAGGGCCAACCGCGTGGGTCAGGAAACCTTCTGCGTAAGGAACGGACCAATGTGGTATGATTTTTCCCTCTAAGGGCCTTTGAATGGACCAGGGGATCCCGCCCTGTATCGACAGAATGGCAGCTGGACGACACCTCACGGTGGAAAGCAACGACCTTTCAGCTCCTGACCGGGAACAATAATGCGTCTCCTAGTGTTCTTCTTAAGAGACCCCCTTGCCTGAAAAGAAATAAGGGGTCTCAGTGTTGAAAAAATTGGGTCGAAATGAGTCTGAAAGCGAACAAGGCCATCCTATGTTTGCCTGATAACGTTCATTCTTTTACAGAATCGATTAGTGAAACAAATTACATCAAAAGGTTTGAGCGTGCGCCTGAAATATCGGGAGCAAGGACACCGATGGTCTGGTCGAAAACTAAATGGCGTTGGCCACTGCAAGTAACGCCATACGCCTCGCGCGAGAAGACCCGTCGTGAAAAACAATGGTTCCAAATGTCTTTCAAAATTAATTCGCCCCGTCCAAAGCTACAAACTGGGCGTATCCTTTTTACATTTTCGAAGCTTTCCTCCTCACAGATGAACAGTGACAGCAACACGAAAAGTAGAGATTCTTTATTTACCCTTCCGGTTCCAGCACCACATTTCAGTCATTCCATCACCAGACCCCAGGGGGGGGGGGGGCTTTTCACTACCAGCAGGCCTTTGTCAACCCTGTGCCCCCCCCCCCCTTCCCCTTGCCAGGGCTCTGGCTGCACGGCTGGTCCGCACACTTTAAAATGTTCCTACGGCTATGTCTTTTGTTATCATTTGTTAATCGATGCAAACAACGGGACGGCCGTGGCCGTACATAATGATGCATGCAATGTCACGGGGTGCATTTCTACATTTGTATCATTTGGTATGGCCGAAACACAGAAATAGACTAATCAGCCTTTTAGTTACTGGGATCTCGGTCACACAGATGCCAGTCTTCGTGGTGCCCATGCCGATGGGAGGCTATGACGGTGGTTGTAGCTCCATGCTGGGAGATCGGCAGCAAACGCGATTTGTACTTCACTTCTCCCAAACATCATGAGGTCAACGCTAAATCATTCTAGACAGACTACCCACTTTCCGTTCTCCCCTCTACCCCCACCACCAACCTGCCGCCTCCGCATCAGGCTGCACAAAATTTTATCTGGAATAAATATTATGGTGAGACCTTCGTGTCAGTTTTCCTAAAGATACGCGCGCAACGCCATCTACCGTACCTTCTTGAAGGAGGCGTCACGTGACCTGACGTATTCCGCAGATGCAAGACGCCATTTTTAATGGGCCTTGTGTTCCGTGTGTGTTGTTTACGTCCTAGGCTGTTGGGCGAGGCGGGGTATGAGTGCTATCTCGCGCTGTGTTGATGCAGGCCAGTGATGGAGAGTTCCAAAGAAACTAAGATTATATACCACATAGACGATGAAGAAACTCCGTATCTCGTGAAGATCAATAAGCCGCCAGATGCGGTGACGTTAGGAGACTTCAAAAATGTGCTTAATAGGCCTAATTTCAAGTTTTTCTTCAAATCTATGGACGATGACTTTGGGTGAGTGACATTCCCTAAACCAGATGCATCCCACTGGTAGTTTGTGAATTAATATAAGTTTATTTGGTAATTAATTGAGATGAATAGGGGTAAACTTGATAAAATGTGTTATTTTGGTTTGCATTGCTTAGTTGCAGGCAAGGGTTAGTAGGTTTGGGTATACAAATACTTGCCACCAAAAGTCTGAATTGGTTTCTTCAGCATTATTTCTCATGCTTAACAAATGCTGAGCTTTTAAACAGTTCAGTGGAGGAAAGGAAACATTGGACCAGGTGCAGCTGGCCAAATTGTTAAAAAATATGTCCTATGCCAAACATGGCTGGCATAGCAGCAAGTAGCAGTGGAGATTGTAGCCATGGTGTCATCATATGTATGTTTTAAATCTAAGCTCTCAGAGTTCCTGCAGTTACAAATTTCAGTACATTGAAAAACAATTGTTTAAAAATGTTGTTTCAAAGGTAATTTCATGCTGAAATAACCTTTAAAAAATTGGTCTGGCATGAGCTGGTGCATGAAAGTGTTAGGTTCAGTGCACCAGCATTGAGGAGGTGACCAGGTCAGAGGGAACTGTTTTGCAGACAGAACAGCGGGCACAGGGGTTTGTGGCCCGAGCTTTGCTTTTGCAGCTCATTATTGATGGTGAATTGGTGGTGATATAAGCCACATGAGGTGAGCAATTGGTGGATGTGGCTCAACAACCCATAGATCAGCTACAACCCCAATGGGGCCAGTCTGCAAAAAATCAACTGCAGCAGACACCATATTGGTGTGCTGAACCTGCCAGTTCATATGCCAGGCCCAGGCTAGACCTAATTATGCTGAAATTACTATACCATAAGCTCTTGTTGCTTGAAAATATGTTTTGGAAGTATTTCTGTAAGAAATTGCCTTTTGTAACATCATAATGCTTTGCACCACAGGCTCTAGTGCACACTGAATATAGTGCTGACCATGCATTAAGCTCAAATTTAGGACTTACCATGTGCATGCTGCTGAAACTGCTGCCACAAAGCCACTGCTATGCCAATGTGTTCATTGTAAGGTACAGATTGTGCAGTTTGGCAGTGGAGCGGGCTACTGTGTTATCTTGAGCATGACTTGGGCTGTCCCATATGCTGAGTCAAAGCCCTTGCCATGATTTGAGGGATTGATCCTAGGTATGTAACAGTATCATGACAAATTTCTGTTTTACTGGAGGCACTCTTCTGGTATGATGTAACCTTCTGGGTCATCATAACAAGGATAGGCTTGGCAAGAACAATGATTTCAAGGATCATTGTTGGGCCAGCCTGGTTTGTTCAAAGTATGGAAATCATTCTGTGACTTGTATCCATCCTCTCCAGTGAATAATGTATGAGTTACTGTTTTAGACAGGATCAAAAAATAAAATGGCTAGAATATTATTTTTGTCTGAAGATACTCCCAAACTGGGTGTAACATTACCATTGCATGTGGTAAGCCCTAGAACATTTTCATTTGCATCTTTTGTACATTTTTTGTGGGATGCAAATGGCTTTTTGTAGAGAGAGGTGTTCTCTTACATAAGAATGTCTCAAGATTGTCACCAGATGCAACTTTTGAAATGTTGCAAGATTGCCACTGAGTTATGTGATGATTTCATCCAATGCTATGTTGTGTGATTGTATATTTGTTATCATCTGGTGTAGCACATTGAAGACAAAAGGTGTCACATCCCATCATTGAGCACAAGACATCAGCTTTTTGAAACCCAGCAAGTTTGTAATGTTTTTTTTTAACACAGCAAGTTTTTAAGCATAATTTGCTGTGTGTTTTGGATAACAACTAGTGGATTCCAGCCTGGTTTTACTTGTTTCTAAATAAATGCAGAAACATGTAGCAATGCAAATGTCATTTTTGTATCAGGGCTATGAGCCAACTGACACCATGACACAAGACATTGTGACACATGTTAAGCTGTGATTGGCTAAGTGGTTGGTAAGAGGTGTTGGCAATCCATGGTAATATGAGAGTTATGTGTATCCATGGAAAGGTTCCAAAATCATTAAAAATAACATGGCTTTACTTTCCACCAAGGAAGGCTGTAAATCAGATTGTTGGTTAAGAGTCATTTTTGTTTTGTTTTTGAACCATGCTTTGTTTGAACCAGTTTTTGAACCCTGTTTGACATCCTTATGAACAAAAAAAAAAATGTTTCACAGGTATTGGCTCATATTGTGCTTACAGTATGAGTTTTTGTTGTGCACACTCTTACACCCTTGTTTGGTCAGCAGTGTGGATATCATTATCAATGCACTTCAAAAATTTGTCACTTTTAGTTTGTTTATTTCCACTAGTTTGTGAGGTAATGTACAGTTTTTGTTTCAAAGAAAATATACTGGTCCTGTCATCAAAAGCTAGCTACTATGGTGTTGCAGATGTCACTCAAAGGCTGAAAACCATACTGTTTGCCTACTAAGCAGCAGCATCTAGCATGCTCTGATAATTGGTTATTGTGTGTAATCTGCATAATCTGCTTAGAAAAGCTATCCTAGCATTTGGTTGTAAACTGTAAGCTTTGTTATCACAGATGTCTTGGCACCTGCATGTAACTAAAGTAAATAAGGCAATCATGACATGCTCATCACAAGTGACATATTTGCATCTCCGGAGGTGATTCTGTTGTTTCACTGCTTTAGGTTGGCGTGAGCATGGCTACGTTGCCCCCACTAGCATAGATATCGCCTGCCCTGATGCCTGGCCGTGCTCAGCGCCGCGCCGCGACCTGCGAGATAAACACGTGACGAGCGCGCCGGCGACAGTGGGGCGAGATCAGAGAGTCCAGCATGAGAAGCAAAGCGCTGCGCAGGGCGCGGCCTACCCACTCGGTCGGTTTTCGCCGTTCGGCGACGCGGTCTGGAATGTTGTTCGGATTCTGGGATGGCAGGTTATTGCGCTTCACGGCGACGTCTGCGACCACTCGTCATTCCGGTGGCGAAGCGTCTGCTGCAGCGCGCCGCGTGTCGTGCGGTGCCGGCCCGTCGGCGTCGGCGGCGCTCGCGACGCGCTCGGCTGGTGCGCTGGGTCGCGCGCGGCCGCGTGGCTGGTCCGACCCGCCGGTCAGCGGTCGGCGTCCGTCCCCAGCATGGCCGGACGGCAGACGGACGGCGTCCGTCCCCTGCCCCTGGCCGTGTCCACGGAAGGCTGGCGCTTCCCGTGGACGCGGCTGTGGCTGGCCTACCCGGCTGATTCGGCGGCAGCGCCCGGTGGACCGGCGTACCCCGTCATTTGGGCGAAAATGGACCCCCGGCGACCGCCGCGCCGTCCTGATGGCGGCATCCGTCATCATATCGTTTCTGATTGTTATAGATTAGGCAGGGGCGCTGGCCTCGCGTTAGACCTGTGCTGTTTGAGCAGTGGTCCACCCGGTTTCTCCGTGGCGGCGCTTCCTGAGCCGTGGGAGGTGCAAACAGTTGTGGAACTTTCCATCGTTTTCTGTGATTGGGCCAATAGTTTCACATGACCGGTCAACATAATTAGCGGCTGCGTGACAGACTGCCATAATTTAATGGACCGAGCATCAGGGTTTTGTGTCGTATTGGTTATTGACGTGTATTTGTGTGTTTTCCGTCGGATTCGTGGCACTTGTTTGGTGCTGTCCGAGACTTGTTTTTGCTGCATTCGTTCTGCAACGACTGGAAACGTAAAAACATCATGTCTGCGTCATGCTGCATGTACTGTTTATCTTTGGATATTTAAGCGCTAAAGAGACGCTGCTCAAACAGATTGGAAGATTACGTGAGGAATTAAGGGTCATGGAGTGCATATTGATCATTTACGTCAAGCACCACCCAGCCACGGTGCGCTCAAATGGGCCGTAACAGGGGGTATTGGGCGCGTCTAACGCCTGCACGCTGCAGCCCGCTGCCAGGCGCAGCCTTGAAGTCTCGGTGGTGGCCGGGCGTCATCGGCGGAGCCGTGTGTGTTTCGGACGTGTTGATGGCGTGTGACACACGCCGACGGCTCGACTGGCGGCTGGGAACGCGCCCCTGCCGCAAATGACACCCGGTCACGACACGACGGCGCTGCTGTCGCCGCTCCCGCTTCCCACGCGGCCGGCGGCGGGCGGGCCCTGCAGTCGCGCTCCGTCACCGGCCGAGACGCGGTGGGGAAGGGCGAGGGGGGGGGGGGGCGACCGGCGCCCGGCTTGCGGTGCTGGTGGGGCAAAACACCGGGCGCCGGAGCTGTGCGATGAAGGGGATGCTGAGGTTTGAGACGCGAACGGAGACGGTGTCGGATAGCCGTCATACGATTGGTTGTTATTGGCTGCGGCGTTTACGAGTTCGTGTGCCAGGCCCAACATCTTATGTAACGGACGGCGGGCGGCTGGGACAATGTCTGTTCCGCTGCAATCTGTCTAGAGTGTCTGATATCGATCGTGCCTGGTCCGCTCCGCTAAAGGGTCCGTGCGCCAGGCGCTGGCCGCTCTTCTGGGCGCCACCGGCAGACGTGTCCTCCCAGCTCCGGCGGCCGCGCCTCGGCGTGTGGCTCGTACGGTGCGGTGCCGGTCATCCGGGGTCGTGCCGCGGCGGACGTCGCTACCGGCGGCGGTGACCGGTCGGTCTGGGCCCCGACCCGCGGCGGGCGGGGCGGGCGGGCGGCCGCTGAGTCACCGCCGCCGGCCGGCGCCGTCCATCGCCGTCACGTCGGCGCCCGAGGATCGCGCTCACGCCGTCGGCCCGTCAAACATCGCGCCCGCCGGCCGCCAGTCAGCGGTGGCCGGTGGGGCGGCGGCGCCCCGCGGCCCGGCGCCGGCGCCGCTGAGGCCCCGACGACCTTGTGGGGGCGCTGGGGCCGGCTGCAGGCGGGCAACGTCAGCTGGATGCCCCGTTGGCCGGAGCTGACGGGAGCCCCACCTCGCCCCACTCCGCCCCCTCCCCCGCCCCACTCCGTCCCCTCTCCCGCCCCCGCCCCCGCCCCCGCCGCCGCCCGACGCGACCCGACCGCGCTCTGACCCGTCGGCCCGACTGTTGCAGCATCGTCAAGGAGGAGATTATCGACGATGAGGCCCACCTCCCTTGCATCAACGGCCGCGTCGTCTCCTGGGTGAGTGGACGCAGCTGGCCGGCTAAGGGGCCGGCTGTGCGGCGAGCGCGGTTGCGGTGGGGTAGCGCGACTCGGTTCCCGGACTGCGCGGCGCGTGGCGCAAGCTTGTGGTCTCTGGGATTTGTTGCAACCCATCAGTTGGGCGTGGGGCCCAATTTCTGTCCCCCGGGGCTGGTGGGAAGTTGTGCTGCGGCACGGAGTCGATCTAACAATGCGGAGTGTTGTTTTATGGCGCCAAAGCTGCAGGTAGGTTTCCTAGTTTGACTGTCAGGCCCCGTCGGCCTCCTGATCATTTCCGATCGGTCGTCGCTGACCGGCCGTCCTGTTCTCAGCTGGTGTCGGCAGATGGCAGCACAATTGACGGCTCACAGTGCGGCGACCCGGTGGGCGCCATGTCGGAGCTGGCACGGCCGCCGGGTGACGCCACCGAGACCGAGTCGACCGTCAGCGGCGTGAGAGGTACGCCGGCGTCGCCCGCCCTCGGAGCCTCGGCCGCTCCCAGCACCGCCCGCCGGTCCGCCGGCACCGATGGCGGCTCGCGGCGTCTTGGCGCCGTGGGTGGGATGTGTCCCATAGGTGGAGGTGAACGGGGAGGGGCTTCAGCGAGATCGGTGTGTCAAGTAGGTGAATGCGGCAGCAGTGTCTCGGTCAGCTCTTCGTTTAGCGGACGGCATGAGTCGCACCCGATACCTGTTAGCGCCATCTTCAGTGTGAGCTTCTGAAGGCTGGCATGCGGTTCTTGCATCCTTCTCTATAGCTGCGTGCACTGTTGGTTACTGAACCCTAGGTCCCCGCTCGAAGGCGCGCCAAGTGGCGTGCGATATGTATAACTCTACTCCGGCTAGTGTGCTCTGAAACAGCAAGAGGTGGGCTGCGACGCCGCGAACATGCTCTCGTTTGCGGGCGTTGTCTGTTCGCGTTCCCGAATCTGATTCGCAGCGGCTCGATGGGTCAAACTCCGTTGGCCTTGCATGTTCCCTGTGTGCTTCTCACTCTGCACCCTGTCTTAGTGTGTCCCCTCTTCACGCGCAAATGACTGCACAGTGTCAACGGGTCACATACCACACACCGGCGCCCGCGCGTGTGGACAGCCGCGTGTCATTTACTGGACTCGCGGTGCTGTTCGTGCATCACCGTCGGAGGCTCGCCTCGACGCTCGCCGACCTCTCAACCTGGTGCACGAACACCGTCGCTGTCCCGGTCCCGGCCCCGCCCCCGCCCTCGCCCTGACCCCGGCCGCGCCCCGCCCCGCCCCGCCCCGCCCCCGCCCTCGCCCTGACCCCGGCCGCGACGCGTCTCGGGGCCCAGGGCGGCGCGCGCGCGCGCGTGTGGCCGCGGCTCGTCTCAGTGTGCCGCCCGCCTGCAGGCCACGGACACCGGCTGGGGCCGCCGCTGCGGGCGCCGCAGGCTGGCCGCTACCACTCAGGTGAGCCGACCGGCGGCCAGCCGGGCTAACCGGCCGCCACCCGAGCTAACCGCGTGACGCCGCCGCCCGAGCTAAACGCGTGACGCCGCCGCCTGAGCTAACCGGCCGCCACTTGAGCTAACCGCGTGACGCCGCCACCCGAGCTAACCGCGTGACGCCGCTGCCCGAGCTAACCGCGTGACGCAGCCGCCTGAGCTAGCCGGCCACCACTTGAGCTAACCGCGTGACGCCGCCACCCGAGCTAACCGGCCCGCACTCAATCTGACGGCGTGGCGCCGTCACCTGAGCTAACCTCGTGACGCAACATCCCAAGCTAGCCGCGTGACGCCGCCGCCCGAGCTAACCGAGCAGGCTAACAGAGCTAACAGACGGGGCTCGGCTGTAGTGCAGGCCGGTGTGGTGCCGCGGGCGAGAGCGATCGAACGCAGTGGTGGACCGGGAATGACGCCAGTGACGTCTGCCGAAGCACAGTCGGGCGAAGATGGAGGCTGAGACGGCGGCGTGGGCGTGACCGGAGAAGAGGCTCGTGCGAATGGAGCCTGGGCTCAGCAGGCGGTGCAGCACGGTCGAGCGTGGGCGGCGCAGAGAGCATCATGCGTATTGGCACTCGGCAGAATTGGCGTGACTAAAGCGTTTTGTGGCGCGGGGTCCGGGGACGCTGCTTGTGGAGATCTGACAGGTTGTCCAGGGCAGCCGCTCCCACCGCTTGTCTCTCGGCACCGCGAGAATGTTGCTGCCTGGGATCGGTCGCTGATCACCGATGGATTGAAGAGTATGTCATAGATGTCTGCTGGTTACATGTGAGCCAACGTGGTATTGTTAGTCACGTTGTTGCAAAAGTTACGTACTAGTGGTGTTTTGCGGTCTTGAAAAACTGACTTCACCACCTTGCTCCAAAACTGTCCACTCCTGTACTCCGATCTGCATAAGCTCGCGGATTCTAGAAGCTTTCAAAATCGGAAGTGTTGCCTCGTAGACAGTGACCAGAACTGTTTCTCTCCCACCCGGAGCCCCAAACAAAAATCCAGCGGTGGTTGGTTTGCTTCAAAACAGAAACTAATCGCATTACAACTGGTGACATTTGGAGTCCGAACTCTCACTACATGAAGTAAGACCGTTGACGTGTGGCGCCCACAAAGTATCTCGAAGGCCGGCGAGATCCGGACCTTGAAGGGCAGATCGCCAGCGATGCGTCGAGTGTACGCGTGACGGCCTCTGGCGCACTGGAGCTGAAGGCGCGGAACATGCCGAAAGCGGCGCAGAGCACCGCAGCTGCCGGCTTCGAACTGCCAGCTCTGGAAGTCGACGTTGCTGGCTTTCTACGCGGACCTGTCGGGTCCCTGTCACCGCCACGTAGCTATCTGGATCACAGTAAGGAGGGAAGGGGGAGAATGCGACGCATTCAGGGTCGTACGAGCTCGACCTAACAAAACAATTCCTGCCGTTGGCGAAGGCCGTCGCGGCTTGGGCAGCCGGTGATGTTGCACTGCGTGGGGACCTCGGTCGGCTTCCTTTCGTCACGCGGAAGGCACGGCTCGATCGGCCGGCCGGCGCCGCGCCAGAGCCGCAGGGGGTGCGCGAGAGGTGGCCGGCACGTGACCGCACCAGCTGCCGGTTACTGTTGTGACGAGCACGCCGCCGGCTCCATCATCGCTGACGCCTGTCTGTCATAACCGGCCGCGCGCCGCACTTCATCCCGCTATGTGTAGATACACTCTGCACGGCCTGTAGGTCGGTGTGCATGCCTTTCGAGAGCTAACTGGGTGCGGGAGCGCGCGCGCCAGGTGCCCACATCTGTGCCACATGCCATCGGCCGTGCACTCGGGTGCACGTCTTGTCTGCCTGACGGTCTGGTAATGTGTTTGACTCCACTTGGGTGAATGGAGAAAAACACCGTTGGTTTGTTGCTGTCTCATTAGTTCCAGTGCTGCCATTCTTGTGTTCGAGGAAAAAGGTGGTTGGCTCAAATCGAAGTGTTCCTAACGATGCATTTGAAACTTAGATTTTTGTGTAGTAGTTTTGGGCCCGCTGTCCCATGTGGCCCGGCCCTGTCCGGGAGCCGGATCGGCCGTGTGCGTCGCCGGCTGGCCGCCGCCTCAGTGACCCCCGTGTGTGCGGCACAGCCGGTCAGAAGCTGAACGGCCATGCGAGGCACCGGGACCGGCTGTACGACAACAGCTCGATGCTCAGCTCGGACCTCGAGTCGACCAGCTTCTTCGACTCGGAGGACGACGGCTCCAGCAGGATCACGTCCACGACAGGTGTGGACGGCGCCGGCCTCCCACCGTACGGCGGCCGGCCGCCTGGGTCGGCAGGGAGGGAGCGAGGGCAGGTGCAGCAGCACCCCGGCACGTGTTGTGCTGGCTTCGAACCCCCGTGCGCAGGTGGAGGCCGCGCGACGCTGTTAGGTTGGTCAGGACTGAAGGTGTCTGGACGAGGCCAGCCTTGTTTTTGAACAATGTGTACCCACGCACCCTATTGCCTGACTGGCATGACCTACAAGTGTTTCGCAACGTAATCCAGTCTTACAGTAATCCAATATAGCGTACCACTGGCTGGTATTTTCACCCGCGGGACCGTATCAAGTACAGCGGCGAGCGCCGGCACGTGCCGCCTCCGCCCCTCGTGGGGCGACCGCGGGAGATCTCGTCAGCAGCGCGGCGGCGGCGGCTGACGGTCGCCCCCGTCGCGCGCCGGCAGGGAGCACGTCCGTGTCGCGCGTGCACCGGCGGCACCGGCGCCGCAAGCCGAGGCCGCAGCGGCCCCCGGGCATGTCGCGCACCTCCTCCTTCTCGTCCATCACCGACTCGACGATGACGCTCAACATCATCACCGTCACGCTGAACATGGACACGGTCAACTTCCTCGGTATCAGCATCGTGGGCCAGAGCAACAAGGGCGGCGACGGCGGCATCTACGTCGGCAGCATCATGAAGGGGTAATGGAGACTATCGGCGCGCCGCGTCGGTAGCCGTTCGGGTTGGGCGCGATTTTGTAGCGTTACGTGCCATCTTTATGCCCTCGGGTGTCTGTTAGATTTGCGTTAGTCTGTGTACCGTTTGACTGTTCGTTTCTTGCAAGATTCCCAAGGTCGCGCGACTATTGTTGATTTGAAGCTTGTCCCGTGGGTCGTGCCTGCCTGCAAATCTGTACCGTTCAGACACGTGAATAACATGTTTTTGGGCTAGTCGGAGCCATACGCATGTCGCGATTAACTAGCCCAAAAAGGCCAATGAATTGGGTTACAATTTTCAGTGGTCGTAGCGAAGACTGGGTGCAGAGCTTCTCACATGTCCAGTCGCACCAGCTGGGCCGCCCTGGCCGCTGCAGCCCATGACGACCGTGCGTTTCCCCGTAGACGAACTGTATTTCCCTGTAGCTAAGCTGTGTTTGCCCTCGTGTCCGCCAGGGGCGCGGTGGCGCTGGACGGCCGGATCGAGCCCGGCGACATGATCCTGCAGGTGAACGACATCAACTTCGAGAACATGTCCAACGACGACGCGGTGCGCGTGCTGCGCGAGGTGGTGCAGAAGCCGGGGCCCGTCAAGCTGGTGGTGGCCAAGTGCTGGGACCCCAACCCCAAGGGCTACTTCACGATCCCACGCACGGAGCCGGTGCGGCCCATCGACCCGGGCGCCTGGGTGGCGCACACCGCCGCCTGCAGAGGTCAGTCCCGGTGGAAGCGCGGCTGGAGCACGCGCGTTGGGCTGGTCACCCGCGGTGCACCTGCTGGCGGCGCGCAGCATCTGTTGGTTTCTGCAGGGCTACCGTCGGATGTGCACGTCGGAGGCTGCACGTGTGTTGTGATTTTTCCGGAAAGGGTAGCAAACTGTTCAGTTTGTCAGTTCGTTCAAATTGGTACCCGCGTTTATGGCAGTTTTGGTTGGTGCTTCGTTTGCACTTCCAGTATTTTAAGTAAGCTATTTTCGACGCTGCAAATATGCCAAGTGGCGCCGGTGTTTCCGTCGGGCCTCCGGAGTTGGCGCCTCTGACGCGTTCTGCTTGTGTTTCATGTGCGACTGAGCAGGCGAGTACTCCGTGGGCGCGCCGTCCACCTTCACACCGACCCACCTCAAAGGTACGCAGGCGGGCCGTTGCTGGGCGCCTATCCGGCCCCGGCCCCAGCCCCGGCCCCGGCCCCGGCCCCGGCCCCGGCCCCGGCCCCGGCCCCGGCCCCGGCCCCGGCCCCGGCCCCGGCCCGCCCCGGCCCCGGCCCCGGCCCCGGCCCCGGCCCCGGCCCCGGCCCCGGCCCCGGCCCCGGCCCCGGCCCCGGCCCCGGCCCCGGCCCCGGCCACTCAGGCCTGGGGCCGGGGCCGGATAGATCGGAGTCCGCAGCGGGCGGAGGGAGGGGGGGGGGGGGGCGGGGGAGGTCTGTGAACTGGTCGGCCGCCGGCGAACTGCTGGATGGCGTGGATGAGACGTGTGTCTCGACAGAGTCGGGGGCGGGAATGGCCGTCGGCGCCAGCGCGCCTCGTGGGTGATGCGTTCTCTGGAGGAAGGCTGGGGCGGACTTGACGTCTGCTGTCGGAGAAGCGACAGACCAGGCTCGCCAGGCCAGTCTGGCGGAGGCGGCCGGCCGTCCCTGTGCTGTCAGTTGTGCTGGATTTTCCTTTGATGCCTGTGTGTGTGGGTGTCACCAGGCCAGTTCAGCGGGGCCCGGCAGCCGTCCCTCTCGACGCTGACGTCCACCAGCTCGTCGCTGGCCAGCAGCATGCCTGAGTCGGAGAGTGAGTGCCGCCAGCCACGCCGCGCGGCCGCGCCCGGCCCCGGCCGAGGAGGCTGGGGGCGCGCCGGGCGGCTCTGGCTAATCGGGTTACTTTGCTGGTGGAGAACTTCTTAGGATTAGCTAGGATTAGCTTAGGAGGGCTAGGATTAGCTGCAGTTGCTTTTGATCTTCAGCTGTTCAAGATGGATAGGAATCTGCCGAATGTTGTGCAGGTTAGAGTATGTTATTGATGCGTTTTGATGTTAATTCAATATTTTGCTTACTAAATAATATGGATCATCATATCATCACTTAATGTGGGATGTATGTATGAGCTTAAATGTATACTCACACCTAAATGTGTAGATTCAGTGCGGCGCGCATAGGCTTCAGCTGTGCGATGTCGCCCTGTCTGGGTCTGCTGCGGCAGCGGCGTGGCCCTGCCCAAGTCTGCTGCGGCAGCTGTGTGCGTCGTCGCATGGCTGGGCTGCGGCCGCGGCGCGCTGACCGACGCTTCCGCCGTGCACATACCGGCCTGGCTGCCACGCTTGTCCCGACCGGCTGGTCCGGCGCCCGCTCCGCTCGCCGCCGCGTGCGCGGGTGCCCCCGTCCTGTCCGTGTCTGCAGCCCGAGCTACCGCGCGGCGTACCTGTGCGGCTCTGACGCCGATGTCGTGTCTGTCGTCCGTGTGTGATCGCTCCCGCCGTCTGGCGGGGCTGGCGGCGGTGGCCGCTGGCGACGGCCTGATGACCGGCAGGCGTGGCGGGACGCTGTGAAAGCCACGGTGGGGTGGCGTCCGAGGGCGGGCGGACCCGGCGAACTGAACAGCTCACGGACACTAGACTGTTACCAGCAGCCATTTGCAACCTGCCGGCTCATTTGCGCGGAATCGTTACAAGCAGTCACTCCGAGTATTCTTTGGTCTGTCAGGGATGACGCCGCCGACAAGCTTTTGTGGATGTGCGCTATCTTTGTGTGGTCCGGCGAAAGGTTTCGGGTAGCGGATGGGATTGGTGTCGGGTTACGCTGCCACCTCCCGCCGGGTGACTTCTTGGGGGTTGGAGGTGCTGTTAGCCACCGCACCGTGCTTACTGCTGGCCACCGCACCAGGCTCTTACTACTGGCCACCGCACCAGGCTCTCACTGCTGGCCGCGGCACCAGGCTCTCACTGCTGGCCGCGGCACCAGGCTCTCACTGCTGGCCACGGCACTAGGCTCTCACTACTGGCCACCGTATCAAGCTCTCACTGCTGGCGCCGGCTCCCGCTTTCCCCGCCGTCCTCGCGGGGCCAGTCAGGCCTGACTCACGCCTGCCACCCGGCCCGGTGTTCGTCTGGCCCCGGCACCCAGCGCGGTCGAGCGCGGCGCCCTCCCGCGTCCCGCGCCTGCCGCTTCACCTGCCGCACCTGCACCGCCACCGGCCTCGGTCGCCTGCCGTCCAGAGCGTCCGCTTGTCTGACTTGCCGCCCGCTTGCCCGCCGCTCCCGCTGCCGCCGCCGCCGCTGCCGCCGCCGCTTCGCTGCCGCCGCCACCGCTTCGCCACCGCCACCGCTTCGCCACCACCGCCTCGTCGCCTCGGCCGCGGGGCTGCCGCCGTCGCTGCAGTGCCGCTCCTGCCGTCAGGGCCGCCGGCCGAGCCGCTCACGGTCGACTCGGGCATGCTGTCGGTGGCGCGCGCCATGGCCGCGCCCGACAGCGGCCTGGAGGTGCGCGACAGGATGTGGCTCAAGATCACCATCCCCAACGCCTTCATCGGTGAGTGACCCTCGCGGGACTGGAAGGCCCATCTTCGGGACGTGTGAGCGTTTCGGGAGGGTGTGATGGGTTACTCGAGTTGCGGAGCGCGGTCACTGCTGGGGGTTATTTTGCTGCCATCTAGCGAGGTATGCGGCAGGGGATTTGGCCGCATTGAGGCTGTTGATATTTGGGATTGTGGCGGGACATGGTAGATGCCGTCTCCTCGTGTTGCGGGCGGTCAGGCCAGATTTGCAGAGCCGGCATGTTAGGGTTCTTAGCAGTTTCCGAGTGCTTCCGTGCTTTCCGAAACCACTGTTGGCATGGCGACGAGTTTTGATCGAATGATATGCATTTCTGATGTTCGATGAACATGCCTGCGTGCTTGGCATGTCGTAGCTTATGTTGGCTGTGTCTGATAGCCTGTGTTTTCACCAGCTTCGTTCGGTAAGAATAGCCGGTATCCGACGCACCTACTCGCCCTCGCGTTGACCCCCCTCCCCCCCCCCCCCCGGTCGTGGCGACGATATGGTGCCGAGCTGCCCCGCCAGTGAAGGCAGCCAGGGTGCAGCGCCCGCCTGACCCTCGCCCCGCCCCGCCCCGGCCGGCAGGCTCGGACGTGGTGGACTGGCTGCACTCGTACGTGGCGGGCTTCGCCGACCGTCGCGAGGCGCGCAAGTACGCGGCCCACATGCTGCGTGCCGGCTTCATCCGACACACGGTCAACAAGAACACCTTCTCCGAGCAGTGCTACTACGTGTTCGGCGATCTCTGCAACAGTGAGTGGCGCCCGCCGCGGATGCGGGAGGGCTGGTCTTTGGGGATGGGTGTTCTAGAGTGCGCCCGCTGACAAATAATCTCGCGCCGCGGCTGACGTTGAAGTGGCCGGTCGGTTGCGATAGCCGGCGCTGGATGATTGTTCATCGAGCGCATGCAAGACATCAGACACAGTGGACAAGACACAGACACATTTTGAGTTGTGGGTTTGGGAGCAGCGGGTGAGCAGCCACCTCAATAGAGCACGGGCTTTAGCGTGGCGTTGCGTTTAAAAAATTGTTGGGACGGCCATCTGTGTGTTGTAGTTTCCCGCACGCCTTGTACCTAATACTGCCGCTCTCGCGGTACCCGTTCACTCCTGCCTGGGCTACAGAACTTGGAATGTTGCAGGTGGACCATCCCTCCCTCAAGTTTTGCCACATTTGGCATGTTCCTTACAGATTCCAAGCACCCTGCTGAACTGTGCTGCCCCTCGTTCACCCTCTGAGCGCTTCCTTCGAGGAGTGGGTGCCCTCCGTCGCTACGTCTGATGGGCAGCGCGCGCCTCTTTCCCGGTGACGAATCTCTGTAGCGAGCGGGCCGTCGGCTGCCGTGGCCGTGTGACGCGCTGGCCGTCGGCTGCCGTGGCCGCCTGACGCCCGGCTGTCGGCTGCCGTGGCCGTCTGACGCGCCGGCTCCGCCGCCAGGCTTCTCGGCGATGAAGCTGGCTGACGAGGACGGACTGAGCGAGGCCGACCGGGACACGCTGGGGCCGCTGCCGCCGCCCAGCGCGGCGCCCTCGCCCTGGGCCGGCAGCCACATGCCGTACAGCGGCACCTACGTGCCGCCGGCGCAGGGCTACGCTCCCATGCCATTCAGCTACACCAACGAGGCGGGCAGCTTCAGCCAGCGAGAGGGAGGTGAGAGGCGCGCGCGGACCGACTCTGGCGGCGATGGGGGCGCCGTGGAGCGAGCAGTTCTCAACAGCGGCCCGCTGGCTGTGTTGGCCTGCTTCATAGTCGGCTTGTGGGGTATTGGCGCGGTCGATGTGCGCGAAGAGTGTGCAGCCGAGAGTCGCTGATATAGGTGGCGCTCGTGCGTCGAGTTCGGGTGCGATGGTGCGTGTGGTGTGCGGGCGGCGCATGAACGGCGTGCCCCGACGCGTGTCAGGTGTTCCTGGTCAGCTGGCCTTGGCTCGCGGCCGCGTGAGCAGCAGCTCTGAAGCCGGGTAACGGTGCAGAGGGCGTGCCTGTTTTCGATGTTGCAAACCGTTGTGTGGTAGTTGTTGGTGTTGTGCCGCACCGGGTTCGGTTCACATCCGTGCCTGCGCTTGAATAGGCGGGGACAAGGGAATAGGACACCCATTCATTTCGCCACGTTAACCTAATTGCAGTTGGATGCGCTCGATTGGGTTAACCTCCACGTGTGTACTTACATAGCCGGTGGCAAGGGGATGGGATACCCGATCAGTTTGTGTCCGCTGGATCGGGCTAGTGCTCCTGGCTGGGCTTACCCATGCAGTGGCAATGAAGTAGGTACCCCAAGTCGGTCACGCCGCCGCCGCGGTGGCCAGCCCGCGTCTGGAGCCGTTCCATCCCGGGGTGGTGAGAGCAGCAGGTCCGCCAGGAGTGACACGCTCCCCCGCCCTCCGCCGCGTCGGCAGGCAGCGGCAGCGGCGGCTCGTCGGCCGGCTCGCAGCGGCGGCGCCTGGAGCCGCCGGCGGCCAGCGCGCCGCCCGGTGCCGGCAGCAGCAGCGACGGCACCGAGTCGGTGGCCACCACCGTCACCAGCCAGCGGTCGGCCGTCGGCCCCGGCGCCGCGGCCGCCGCCGCCGCCGCCGGGGCCGGCGCCGACGGCCGCCAGCCGGACTACTTCGTGGACGTCATGTGACGGGTGTGCGCGGTGAGGAGACGGGGCGCGCCTGCCGGCCGCCGGGGCGAGCCGGCGTGTCCAGCGATCCTCTGCTGGGGAGGGCGCCACCGTGCTGTTGCGCGTTGTTGTCATGTGCAGGGGCGTCTCTGGTCGCCGGGTAGCGCCAGCTTCTTTTCATAACCCGTGTTTCATTCAGCCGCGTTCCAGGCGGGAGTGGCTGATGTGATATCCTTGGGCCTCGTTGGGCCTCCCCAGGCGCTCCACGTCATTGCTGATCGCCGCCGACGCCCCCCCCCCCCCCTATTCTCCCCGCGGCCCTGTTGTCCGCACCTCGCTGTCAGGGTGGGACGGCAGGGGTGAGCGGCCGCGACGCGCGGGGTCTGGTGTCATCAGCCGCTGTGGCAGGGTGCCCTCGTCAGCCATGGGGGGCCCTCGGTCCTGTGCCTTATGCCAGATTACGCATGGCACGGTCAGCAACCGGTTTGGGGAGCTTGGAGTCCGCGCTGGTTGTCTGGCGCCATGAAGACGCTCACGTATGTTTTATAGCAGACTGTCGCAGGCGGGGTCAGCAATGTCAGCCTCATGTCGTGTCTCGCGCGGAGTTGGTAAGACGTACACTCCCTCATTTCTGTAAATATGTGGATGACTCACGTGTTATTTGTGTGTGTGGTTGGTCCTCAAGATGCCGATCTCATGCGTCATTAATCTGCCGCCGGGGATTGTCAGTTTGCAAACCAGCACACCTCCGACGAAAGGCCGGCATCACTGGCGACAATGGTGTCCGTAGACGGTGCGCACGGCTTTGGAGAATGGGAGAACGGCTTTGATCGATGACCTAAAGCCCTGGACTACGGTGTAAAAATGATACCCAGACAGACGTAACTTGCCACCCATGCCTCAATCGAGGGCCTTCATTATTCACGTGCATTTAAAATGCTTAAATTATTTGTTTTGTTTTTGCCACTTTAAATTTCACCTCCCATGGTGTTCTTCGCTTGAGTGTTTTCAGTCAGCCAGGTGCGTATTCCGGTTGGGACTTGGCGTGACCCTAAAGCTTGTCTCAAAACATGGGATCGAGTTCAAATCGATACCGGTGCGCCTCCGTGACTCGCCGTCTGCGAGTAGCGCAAATCCGTCGCGTGAGTGATCCTACCGTGCCCCTGTTGGATTGCGGTACTGCGGAACGGCTTTGGGGGCGGCGCCCGCCGCGTGCGCCGAAGATGTCAGTTGGCCGTCAGCCGTGGTCCAGGGAATTCAGACTCAGCTCCAAATGTGGGTATTGCCTGATTTGTGTTTTAGTTCTCAGCGCCTTGCAAATTGAATCACGATCTGTCATGTGTAGGCACGGCAGGGCGGTGTTCTGGCCTAGCATCAGAAGCAGCACGCAAGCATTACCAAAGCAGGTTCTCGAATGTATGCCCGACCTTCCGCGGCCAGCCTGTTGCAAGATCATATGCTCCGCATCGTCTGTAGACCTTGGCATGTTATTTTTGAACGCGGTGATAGCCCCAGCTCCACAAAAAGCTATTTGCTCGGCGGTGGCGCAGACCTTATCTCCTACTCCTGTATCGGAACTATGTTTGACGTGTTAGCAGGTCCAACTAAGTCAACCCGGGTGTTCACAGCGGCGCCGTTTAGCGCGGCCGCCCGCCGGCGGCGCTGTGTGTGCCCGCATGCGGCGCCGCGCCTGCTGCCGCACCGCGCCTCATGGCACAGCGTGCGATGGGCGCTGCTCTGCAGTGTTCAATTCGCGCGGCGCGTTGCGGTGCACACTCATGCACTTTGTGCCGCTCCTTTCCGGGGCATTCACCTCCGTGATACTCCGCTCCGTGGCACACCCTTGTCCGTGACACTCCCCTCTCCGTGACACTCCCCTCTCCGTGACACTCACCGGTCCTAGCACTCCCCCCTCTCCGTGACACTCCCCTCTCCGTGATACTCCCCCCTCTCCGTGACACTCCCCTCTCCGTGACACTCCCCTCTCCGTGACACTCCCCTCTCCGTGACACTCCCCTCTCCGTGACACTCCCCTCTCCGTGACACTCACCGGTCCTAGCACTCCCCCCTCTCCGTGACACTCCCCTCTCCGTGACACTCCCCCTCTCCGTGACACTCCCCTCTCCGTGACACTCCCCTCTCCGTGACACTCCCCTCTCCGTGACACTCCCCTCTCCGTGACACTCCCCTCTCCGTGACACTCCCCTCTCCGTGACACTCCCCTCTCCGTGACACTCCCCTCTCCGTGACACTCCCCTCTCCGTGACACTCCCCTCTCCGTGACACTCCCCTCTCCGTGACACTCGCCGGGTCCTAGCACTCCCCCCCCTCTCCGTGACACACCCTTGTCCGTGACACTCCCCTCTCCGTGACACTCCCCTCTCCGTGACACTCCCCTCTCCGTGACACTCGCCGGTCCTAGCACTCCCCCCCCTCTCCGTGACACACCCTTGTCCGTGACACTCCCCTCTCCGTGACACTCCTCTCAGTGATACTCCCCTCTCCGTGGCACTCCTCTCCTTGACACTCACCTGTCCGTGACACTTCCGTGCCCCCCTTACCCGCGTCCGTGACACTCCCCTCCGTGACCTCCTCCCCGTCACACTCCGTCCGTCCGTGACACACCCCTCCGTACCCCCCCCCCCCTCGTGGCACAGTACGCTGCCGCAATGTCCACTGCGCATGACGGTGGCTGTTGTCAGCTTGTGATGATACGGTTGGCTGTGGTCAACTGATGATGCTGGTGGTTGTAAGCTGGTCTGTCACGCGCCGCCGGACGGGGTGTGGTCTACAGACCGCCCCGACAGTCCCTACCAGACCGGGGCATGGTCTGCAGACCGCCACGACAGTCCTCGCCAGGCCCGGGCATGGTCTGCAGACCGCCTCAACGGTCCCCCGCCCCTGACCGTCCGGTCGCTCGCTTCCAGGTTGCAACGAGTCTGTTCTAGTCTGCCCGCTATATCGTCCATGTCGGCGGCGTCCTCACCTTCGCCACCGGAGCCAGCCAGGCGCTGCCCTTCCCCGGCGTGCGTCGGGCGGACAGGCACGGCGCTGCGCCCGCCCGCCCGCCGGCGCGCGCTCGGTGCCGCCAGCGGCGCGCCGCGTCCGCCTCGCTCGACTCTCGTCCGCTTCCCGGCCGGCGGCCGGCCTCTGTTACGTAGTCGCGCGCGCGCAGTCCGCCTCGTTTCCGCCGCTGCAGCGAAGCTTTGCTCGCGCCGCGCACTGGTTGATTGTATAGTCTTTGATACATTTATGCTTTTGTAAGTGAGGCGCGTGGTTTCGCGGGCGGCGTCGACTTGGTGCGTTGATTTTGTGTACTCGTGTCGGGCGGGCGCTCCCCTCTGCCGATTGTGGATTACATATTTGCAGGATATGGCCCGTTCCGCGTTTTGCTTGTCGCAGAAGGCTGCGTCATCGGCTTGGCCCGCGCTCCTGGCCCGCGTGGCACGGCCAGGAGCGCCGGCTGCCGGACGGGAGTTCCCTGATCTCGAACCGCCTGACTGAGGGCGGGTATTGGGGGGGGGGGGGGGGGGGGCGTGAGTCGGAGTGGCGAGCAGTCCGCTGTCCTGGGAGTGCACCGCGAGGCGTCAGATTACCAGGGAAGCCCGAGCCCGGGAACCCTCCGTCCCCGCCGCGAGTGTGGCCGACACCGCGGACAGTTACAGGGCAGACGGTGCTGGGCAGGCTTGTTGAGGCTACGGACGATCCCGGGCGCCGGTTAGTGGCGCCGCAGGGAAGCGTCTCCAGCCGGCACTGTAGCATTCTACGATGTGAGTGATAGCGAGGATCCAACGTCACCCCGGGGATGGCCAGCGACGAGCCTACGCAAGTTGATACAATTACGTATGACATAAGAGTCCTATGGCATTTCCGGGGATGACGATGACCATGATGATGGGTGACGTATGTAAACATAGGTCGCGCACTTCGATGTACGCAATGCCGTGCACTGGCACGAGCTCGGCGTAATGGCGTGGGTGGGCATCGCTTCGGAGACGAGAATAGCCCGCGTCAGTTCGCGCAATCGCCTCATGGAATACGAGCCCGATCGGAGTTGATACGACGTCACACGTGACGCAGCGGGCCGGCCCGTGTAAACAGAGCCTCAGCACGGCGGGCGGCGGGCCGGAGCCGGATGGAAGTCGTCCGGCGTTGGCCGGGCCCGGGCGGCGCGGACCGCTGACCCTGCCCCTGCCGCTGGCTGCGAGGTCTGGTGAGAGGCGCGGCTGTCTGAGCTGGGGGCGGGTCGGCTGTCCGCCTCCTGCTCGCTCCGTGCTCGGCTGGCGGGAGAAGCAGGTGGACTCATCGTCACATCTTTCGGTACTGCTCGTCGGAACCCAAACCTGACATCCG